AAAGTAATACAAAAAACACGAGACTAGACAAGGACACAAGAGGCTAAGCAGGGAAGCTAAGGGAGAGGAGGAGGAGGAGAAAAGTGCGACCGCCTTCGTCAAGAGCAAGAGCAGAATTAATATAATAACAATATTTAATAATGTTACTACAAAAAGCATCAACAACAGCACGGATTCAAACTAAATTTAATTGCAACCTGTCAGCATTTTTAATCATAACACTTCAGCAAATTTCTTTGCTATCCTACTCATTCAGGAAAAATCTGGATTTCGGTGGGTACTGTGACTTTGGACAACCCACTTCACCACGTAGGTTGTGATTGCCCTGCTAAATAATAACGATAAATGGACTGGTTCTTATATAGCACTTTTCTATTCTGAGCATTCAAAGTGCTTTACACAACTTGCCTCATTCACCCATTCACACGAGCACTTATTTCTGTGAATGTGTGTATATATACACACATTCATACTCTGATGGATGCATCGGAGAGCAACAATTTCTTGCCCCGGGATATTTGGCATGCAGACTGGATCAGACGGTGAACAAACACCAAACCTTCCGATTAGCAGATGAGCTGCTTTACCGCCTGAGCTACAGCCATAACACCCTGCTACACTTGCTGAATGTGCTAGAATATGAAATGTGAATCATTGAGTAATTTATGTATTGGTTCTTAAAAACAAACACAGAAGGTCTAAACCACAATTTAAAAATAACATTGATAAACTAGTATTCACCAGCTTACAAACACTTTTACTTTGTATTTAAAATGTCAAAGTAAAAGCACATTTTTGGTTTTGTTTTTTGGAATTATTTAGCTTGATGTGAATTTTTTAAGTAGGGCAGTGATTTAAAGGAAATCATTTAAGAATATTATAATGGAAGTCACACGTTAGTGGAAGAACTGCCACTTACTTGTAGATAAATGTTTTATTTTATGAGTTTTTATGTTACTGTCAAAAAGAAGTAGTAGTTAAAATGAAGTTATAGTACCTCTGAACTGTAACTAACAACAGTCCTCAAGTTTCTTTCTGAGTTATACACATAGACTGTATGCACACTCACTTTAGATGAGGATGTGTCACACTCCTGGCAGATCCAGCCATATCCTGTCTGCTTGGGTGATTTCTTCAGTGGAGGGTCCAGACACCCAAAGTGATAGCAGAGTCGACACTCGTCACACCTGAGATGCAGACAAAGGGGGGGCACACGTTATGTCCCAGACACTTAAAGCCTGAGCAGTCCTTTAATGATGAGGCCAGTTCAACAGTGATGGATGATGACAAGGCAGGTGTCAGTGAGTGAACTTTGTTAATGTATTCCAAATATCCTCTAATCACTCCATTCCCTTGACCTTACACAATCATTGTCTGCCCAGTGGTTCATATCAGTGTTCAGATAAATACAGGCCTTGGTAGTGCCAGTAGTGCCTGTAAAATCCTAAGGAGCTGGAATATGAGCCCTCTGGTGAAGCAAAAGGGGTCAAATAACTTTTAGAGTATGTTTCACAGAGAAGACA